GACAGCTCTCCAGAAAGAACATTTTCTCTATGCCTGAAGATTTGGCAATGGGGTTTTAACTAATTTAATACAAAGAACCATCAATGAAATGAATATAATAATAGCATCTACCTAATGATGGTATTGAACAAATTCTGTGAACTATGCTATAAAGGGCTTAGCAAAGTGCTTAGAAAATAATTAGCACCTACTGGCTATCAGGATTGTGCTATTATTAATGTGTGATTGGTCATAGAAAACCAAAAAAAAAAAAAGGTCATTTTACCTTTTATTTACCCTTATGTAATAGGAAGTTATCTCAGACACCTTTAAGACATTGCTGGGAAATTAGTAAATGTAAAAACTAGGGGGTTTTCTTCCTAAAAATGAATCCACTACACAGCTTCCTAAAGTGGTAGGTATTGTTTAGGGGTGGCAAGTAGCCACTATTTTACATGAAACTATCTGTGAAAATTGGAGCCATAAATCTAGCTATGTGACCTGCCTTTTTTACCTGCATGAGAAGCCAAAACTCCTAATCTCCTTTAAGAACTCAAACCATACTTATTTCCAAGGAGTTGAACGTGGGTGTTTGCATTTTATAAAAACATATATATAAACAAAGCACTGTTTTAGCAGGATATGGAAGGAGTACGGACGGGAATTCCACCCAACGGACACACTGTCTAGCTTTCTCTGGTGTGAGATTAAAGGAGTGATCATAGCTTCACACATACTGCATGTTTGTGCAGCAATTACACTTTACACTTGATTCTGGCTTCTCTATTAATGCCAAAGATTCTTTTTTTAGGATGTGATAAATCTTTTTGGCTCCAGCTTACTGGTTCCAAACATTCCTTGGCCTTTTTGTGCTTAATGGTGGAGTTTTAAAAGTTATACTTTATATTACTGGTGGTGGTTGGGGTGTGTGTGTGTGTGTATGTGTGTGTGTATGCTGGGGTTATGAATAGGACCAGGGATACAGGAAAGGAATTTTTTTCTAACCTTAGGCATATGGTCTTAACCTCTCTGTGTCTCAGTTTTCTTATATGTAAAGTGGGGATAATAATAGTTTCTACTTTCTCAGAGTCAGCCTTCAATAAATATTATTTTGATGTTTGTGCTAATGATCACATTTCTTTCTAAATCAGGGCTACCCTGATTCTATGTAAGCAAGTTAAGGAAAAAAACATGACTGACTACACAGTAAAGTGACAACCGATTTTGAATGCATCTTTCACCTAAAGATATGATTCTTATGGACCTCCCTGGTGGTCGCAGGGGTTAAAGTCTCAGTACATTCAAGCTATTGCCAGACCTCTCCTGTCTCACGCACTGCTCCCTTCAGCAGTAGATCTGCCTTTTTTGCTCCCCACTTTGTCTCTGGTGAGTCCTCTCACTCCCCGAACCTCTGGCCCATACCCCATTTCTTGTATGCATAAATAAATAAAAATAAATCTTTTTTTAAAAAAACATGATCCTTATATACTAAAGGTCCTTTTAATCTGCTTAACATTTTATTTCTAAATTTCTCCTTGAGCCTCTCTTGGAAGAACCCTAACATCTTTATGTAAGAATAACAGACTCAAACCACCTGAAATAACAAAAGTAGGGATTTTTTTTTTAAAGGGGATCTGTTTGTTCTGGAATACCATGAAAGAAGTCAGCTAATTCAGCAGATTACTAGCTTCAAAGCAGTTCAACTTGACCAACTTAGAAGTGAAAACAGTCTTCATGGTCAGCACGCAAATGTAAATTTAATGACTGGCCTGACAAGTGCATGATAAAAGTTGTATGTAAAAGAAAAGGATAAAATGGAGGGCAGGGGAGAGAGGGCCTGCTTCGTTTTTGATGGGAGTCTAGTTTATGATTGCTAACTTGTTATTTCAACAATCATAGTTAATACTTTCTGGTGTCCGGTCTTGTTTCAGTTGTTACTCCCAGTTGAATTTTTTTTTTCCTGAAACATGGCTTGCTCTTCTTTTTCTCAAATAGCAAAGTATTTCAAATGATCTTCTAAAATCCAGAGGACTAACCAGGGCATCCTTCAAAATTAGGCTTGTCAGAACTAAAATTTATCAAACAAAATCTAAACTCCTACAAAGAATCAAATCTCTTATTAAAGGATTGCTTATCACATATGGCATCACTAACTCTTAATAATGCAACTTTTGAAAATGTGACCCAGATAGTTGCCAAATCATTTATTTGATTTTGGAATTTATTTTGGAATTTATTTTACATTTCATCCTAGGAATATCTGGAATTCTTAGGATTGGAAATGGAAACAAAATAATGAGGTCACACTGACTCAAAGAACCAGGAAAAGAAGTCCAGATTCTTGACCTTGAACCTGTCCCTAGCTCTGTCTACTTTCAGTCCTTCTAGGATTAAGATTTCATTTGCTGGACTACCCACCTAGAAGGACTCCTCCGTTTTCAGCCTGCAATGTTTGTGCTTATACTTTCTATTTAATGAAATTGAAAGCAGTAGAAAGTGAAAATGTCTTCCTTTCTTTTATATATATACATATATGTGCATATATTATGTATGTATATGTGTATATATAATTTATTACATCATCCTTCATTTTTGTACAATTATGTTTTCCCTGTGAAATTCCCACCACCAATTCACCCGGGCACCATCACCATAGTCCCTTGTGCTCTTCTCTCCCCTGTCCTGATCCTTTGCCCTCTTCCTCCCCTACAGAATGTCTGGTCTCTGGTTGCTTGTTAATTTTGATATTTACTTTACAAGGGAAAAGTCTTCCTTTCTAATGCCATGATCCCTTTACCTACCAGCCAACCTGATTCTACTGAGTTAAATTTTGTTTTGTATGACAGCTCTGTTTATTAACTTGAGGCTGAAAGAATCTTTGTTTCTGTCAAAACACATGGGGAATTATCAATCTATAGGTAAGAATTAAATAAACCCCACAAGAAAAATATATTTGTAAAAATCATTGCACAATAACTTAAAAAAACACCACTGTTTATTACCCAGTCAGGGCATGAATGAAGGGATATATTTAAATTTAAAATGTCAATAGAGAATGTCCAGAGGGAAGAAAACATTGTAATGCTGACAAAACACAGTCAGAGAACCTCTGGTCTTTCTAACAAAAAGTCCTTTTTCAGTTGCCTGCAATTATTCCCTTATGTTATCCCAAATATAACAAACTTGTTCCGTTCAATTACTTGCCACCAGTAAGCAATATACTGTGTCACTTTTGTTTCATGGTGGGTTCATTATACCTCTGGATTACTTATTAGTGGCTTGTTTATTTAACTACTGGACACAGAAGTCTGCAATATCT